ACATTAAAATATCCCTTTCTCTCTGCCGTGCGACGATAGCCTAGAAGTAGGATCCTTGATTGATGCCAAATCGGTTGGGTTTCGATCCCGGCTTGAAACAGTCGGACGTCTAGCCACACTGAAGAGCTGTGATACAGCGAAACAGTCTACCCGTAGATGACAATATATATATATATATATATATATATATATATATATATATATATATATATATATATTGTGTATTTGGGAAATAATCCTCTTTTATGCAACAGAGACAAAGGTCGATTCGTCTGCCTCAGATTTTTGGGATGCAAAAGGCTTTGTGTTTATTTACTATATTCAAAAGTGTCACACCCTCAATGGAGAGTACTATGCCAATCATAAGTCACAAAAGGTTATCAATACAAAACGCCTAGGAAAATGGGGTCTTATTTCATCAGACTCTGCTCCAGCACACAATTCCTTGGTTTCAGTGGTTGCTGTGTATGACTTGCTTTGAACTGGTTGACCACCCTTCTTATTCTCCTGATTTGGCCCCATCTGACTATTATCTTTTGCAGGGAAGGTGATGGCTTCAGGCTTTTTGGGATACAAAAGGCATTGTTTACTGAATATCTTCAAAAGGGTCACACCATCAATAGAGAGTACGATGCCAACTTGTCAAGGCAGTTACACAGTTGTGTCAAGACCAAACGCCCGGGAAAACTGACGAAAAGGGTATTGTTTCAGCTGGATAATGCTCCAGCACACACCTTCCTGCCTTCAAAGGTGACTTCTGTGCATGACTGTGGCTTTGAAATGGTTGATCATGTCGATTGCTGTATGAGTCGTACGATTTTTGAATCAAGCACAGGCAACGCCAACCCATGCTGCTAGTATATATATATATATATATATATATATATATATATATATATATATATATATATATATCGTATATACTCGCGTATCATGCGACTTTTGAAGACCTAATTTTCAAGCTAATTTGAAGAGGGTCGCAAACTACACGAGGTCTAAAATAAGCGCATGTACTGCTGGCCCTGGCTACGCCGTTGACGAAAATCCATTTCCTGTAGTTAAATATACAGCTATATTTAAAATAAATATCTGTTGTTTTACTTGTAATATTCACATATTAATATCGTATTATAAAATACAAACATAGCGGATATGCATCTTTTTCCATTGTTTACGTTTATAAGATGTTTAGCTGTTTCTCGTTCGACTGCTTATGGCTGTACACGTTTACGCAACGAGTATAGCGTTACTAACGATACTTTTATCATTCGCTTTTAACGATACTTTTATCATTCGCTTTTACTTTTTAACTTACTTAACTAGAAGATGGGATAAAGAGATAGAAGAAAGGAGGTTAGTCTATTGTAATTTAGTCTCTTTAAAAATAAAACCACATGATACATGAGATATATGATAAAATCATTTTTTATCAGGGAAAATTTGGGTGGGGGTTCGCACGATATGCGAGATCACTCGTTCCACAAATATATATATATATATATATATATATCCAAGTGTATGATTGGTGTATACGGAATAAATTCCAATCACCAACAATTACTATTCTTAAAAGAGTGCTCAATACAGAGTAGTGCGAATATAAATATTTAAAAATTATAACGTAAATATGTTATAAAATCACTACAAAAATAGCCATTTTGTTTCAACACCTTTGGTGTCTTATCAAGGGATGATGTTGAATGTGTGAATATAGGATCTACATTCAACATCATCACTTCATAAGTCACCGAAGGTGTTGAAACAAAATGGCTATTTTTGTAGTGATTTTATAAACATATTTATGTTATAATTTATATATATATATATATATATATATATATATATATATATATATATATATAGTTCTATGTAATGAACCTGCAATACAAGTTGGGATTTGACAAAATATGTTGCCATTGAGTTAATATAATATTCTACTGATCATAAAGAGGAGAGTTAATTTTCTCCTGGTAATTATATATGTTTGTCTGGATTGACTTGTAATAAACGAATTTGTATCGATTTTCGCGTGATTATAAGACCTAAACAAATACTTTTGCCCGCATATTTTTTATTACCGTATATACTCGTGTATCAGTTGACTTCATCTATAGTGTAATCCCTGAATTTTTGGCATGAATTTTAACCCTTCCAGAAATAAATGTACCTGTGTATAGTGCAACCGGTCGCCGAAAACGTATAATTTTTAAACTCTCAAAAAGTCCTTGCAAAAAGGCATGCAGCAAATTAAACATAGTTCTCAAAGTATTCTCCATCGGCAGTCAGAACCTTTTGCCAAGATGCCTCCAGCTGCAAAATGCCATGGTGGTAAAAATCAGATATCTTAGACTCAAAGAAGACAAGTCTGATTCATTTGCCAAGGATTTTGATTTATTAGAAAAAAAATTATACCATTAGTCCTCAAAGGAATACCCATCAGCATCCGTAATCTTTTGCCAGCGTGTCTCCAGCTGCGTAAATCCATGACAGCAAATCTGTCTCATTTGCGAAGGATTTCCCACGAAGGTGATTGTCCAGGGTAAGGAAGAGGTAGTAATCAGTTGGCGCAAGGTTCGGGAAAAGGTGAATGGTACTGTGTCTCCCAGCCAAGTCGCCATATGTTATCCCTGGCCACTCGCACCACATGAGGCTTGGCATTGTCATGGAGGAACACTACACCCTTTCAATTTACCAATGCTGGCTCCTTTTGTTTCAGCGCCTGTTGCATGTGTTCCATCTGCTGCGAGTACGCGTCCGCGATGACGGTTTGACTCGTTGGTAGCAGCTCATGGTGCACCATCAAATACAGAATATGGTCCTGCGTTAGTGTCAAGGTGGTCTTGTGGTGTGAGGCACAGAGTCCAGAAGTGGCAACCACTATCTGGTATAATTGGGAGAGTCATACAGGACCCACTTTTCGTCACTGGTGAGCACTCAATCAAATATTGGTACGGTACGGTGCCGAAAAAGCAAGGAGAAACAGGCTGTTACCCGTTCTTGCTTGTTCGCTTCTGATAGTGTGGGGTCTCTACTTGCTCAATTTTTACGGCTTCCTTATGCGGTACAGGTGGTTTGACTGTTCCATCAGGAGCCTAGAAGTATTTGGCAAACTCACCGTGTTGTCCTCTTCCATGGCTGCCTTTAGGGCATCATCATCCAGTAATTGTGGCCAGCGACAGCGGAATTCATCACAAAGAGACAGAATCCCCGACTTGAACGTTTGAAACCAATGCCTGGCGGTGAGTTCACACACAGCATTATTCCTAAAGGCTTGATGCATTTGGCGACTTGATGTGGCTGCGGACAAGACCACGTTAAAGTCATAAAGCAGACAACCCCGAACGAGCTTCTTTCGACACCGCCATGTTTCCTCGTCGCTGCTCGTGCTAGGACTGATGAGTGTGTTTGCAACACACCCGCATTGTTCAAGGGTAATGCTCCCCAACCACACCCTACTATTTACTGGTGAATACTCGATCAAATATTGGTACGTTACGGTGCCGAAAAACAAGGAGAAACAGGCTGTGACTCGTTGTTACTTGCTGGCTTCCGACAGTCTGTGGGGTCTCTACTTGCTCAATTTTTACGACTTCCTTATGCGGCAATGATGGTTTGACTGTTCCATCAGAAACCTGAAAGTATTTGACAAACTCACCGTAGGTTTGGCTGTTGTCCTCTCCCATGGCTGCCTTTAGGGCATCATCATTCAGGAATTGTGGCCAGCGACTGTGGCGTTCATCACAGACAGATCTCCCGACCTGAACGTCTGGAACCAATGGCTGGCAGTGCGTTCACACACAGCATTATCCCCAAAGACTTGACCTATTCATCGACTTGATGCGGCCGCGGACAAGACCACCTTAAAGTTATAATACCTCGTCGCTGCTCGAGCTGTGACTGATGTGTGTGCGCAACGTACCTGCATTGGTCAAGAGCAATGTACTCCTCAACTTCACCGTCTTCCCGGCACGTGACGCACACGTTTGCTTTTATCAGTGATCACTTCTTTTGACACGACATAAAAAAACGCCAAGGACTTTTTGGTTACCTTATATTTCTCATCTTCTTTAAGAGAAAGGAATTTAGTTATTCACGAAGTTTATTATTATTATTATTATTATTATTATTATTATTATTATTATTATCTTCTTCTTTAGCAGGATTTCGTTTTCAACCGGAAATCTTGCATCATGGGACTTCTCCATCAAGTCGTACGACCTTAGACTGCCAGCAACATTCGTAGTGCCGAGTAACGCAGACTTCTGAAGCGATGGAATACTAGGCTTTCTACCGATGTTCTCTATGCAGGACTTTAAGTTCGATGTTATAGACTCCAACGCCCCAATGACAGCTGAAAGAAGAGTCGCCTGAACGTTCCACTTTCTCGCAACATCAATCCCGATGTCGTTGTATTTCTTAAGGCTCTCATTTTGACCTTGATATTACGATCGCAGATGGAACAGACACGACAACGTTGAGGCATTTTCTTGTTTCGTTGTCAAAAACGGCCATATCGAGTTTGGTGGCATAATGGCGCCGTCTGTCTGGATGTTGAAATCCCAAAAGACCTTGACTTGTAACAAGTAACAAAGACGTAACAATTTTTTTCCCCTCGATTACCTTCTAATAAACAAACATCTATCGATTTTCATGTGATCAAAATATTTAGACAAAAACTCCTTAATTTTCTAGTGAAGTACTATTTCTTCTTCTTCGTGCCATGTCCCTTTGGGAAGTTAGCAATCATGACACTCCATATTATTTAAAGCGAAAATAATTATATTTTGATTGTAGGATTTTTTTTTGTTTTTGTTTTTTTGAGATAATACTGGTTTTAGGGATACAAGTTTTACTATAGCTTGGGGAGAAGAACAGGTGGCCTCATACCTTTTCTAAGGATATTTGCGCATAAGTGAATATAACGAACCCAACGGGAATTGGAACTCTGTTCATCGATTAACAATTCTTACCTGTTATCCATTACACCACACACATCCAAGCTTGCAGCACCTGTCATTCCCAAGTGGTTACCCATCAAGGTACTGACCAGGCCCAACATTGCTCAACTTCGGTGACCGTACGGGAAATAGTGTTTCAACGTGATTTCTCATTCCTAGCCATTACTCATTACACATCGCACATACAAGCTTACAGCACCTGATATCCCCAAGTGGTCACCTATCTCGGTACTGACCAGGCTCTAAGTTGCTTAACTTCTCTAATCGTACAATGTTTCAACATAATGTGGCTGTAAGCTCAGCTCTCTGATTTCTCATTCCTAGCTGTTATCTATTATATCACCCGTAAAACCCAAGCTTACAGCACCTGGGATTCACAAGCGGTTACTCATCTCGGTACTGACCAGGCTCAAAGTTGCTTAACTTCTGTATGCGATGCCATGATGTAGTCTGTTGAATTTGGCAATAATTATATACGATTTAAACCCAACTCGCGATTTGGTCGTTAGGAATCCTTACCTCGAAATATGGCGTTCTCCCATTCCACAATATTGGTATTTTGTAGTAAATTCTTTAAGTTCTCCTTACCCAATGTGAAAATGTAGTAATTATGAGTGTGCAAACCCTGCAAAATCAAAATAATTTGCTATCAGCAAGAATTGGTTTTATTTGGTTGTTTAAACGTAAAAAGAAAATAAAGAGAAGAGAAAAGAAAGACTCAGTGTAGAATTTCCAGAAAAGAGAATAGAAAAAGAAGCGAAAATAGTAGAAACTTTAAAAAAATAGGATTTTATTAATGCAACAGAATCATGTGCATTCTCAAAAAAAGAGTATGCCAGGTTCAACCATTAGTTAAAGTTGGATGATTGCCTTAGGGTTCAAATTGTTTAGAGATGTACTCGAACCTGAAAAGGCGAGCGGGAGACGAAACGTTTGGAGCGTGAAGCTTCCGAGACTCGTTAGAATTTCAGCATTGCAACCATTGGGAAATGTGCCTGAAATCCATACTACGGGTTGAACCAAACCTTGCGAGCGAAATTGGGTCGACGAAAATCTTCAGAAGCCGTTGGTGGCTTTGTTAGCATGAAGTCACAGTCAACGTGCCCGAAGTTCTAGATGAAATGGCCTTATTGAGACGGGTGATTGCACATGATTATGTACTCTAACACAGAAACAGTTGTAACTGGCCTGCTCAGTTGCAGCATAACTCATATGTTGGCCTTGTGGGCATTGATGAAACAGATGACTGCAACAATTAACAACCCTAGCAGATAGGCATACACGGAAATGAGCAACCAGTAATTTATAACGTTTGTATATATATATATATATATATATATAGAGAGAGAGAGAGAGAGAAAGAGAGAGAGAGAGAGAGATTATCCCTCGCCGATAGCATGACTCGAAGTTTCATTCTCTATGCATATTTATAACACCAGCGCTATATTTCTAATAAATAATTTTCAAAACCATATAACCTGAACATTATTATGAATTCTAGAAAATCTGTCCTTATCCATAACAAAGAACAATGGATGAAAAAATAATTCAGTTGACCAATTTGATATTACAATGGGATCATTAGACTCGGCTGATTCTTCCAATCTTGTTGGTTTATTCATTTTATATAACCTTAGAGCCCACCATGATATCAACATAGAAAATATAGGTTTATATAGAGATGACGGCTTTATGGTGGTGAAAAATTTTACAGAAATTAAAACTGACAAAATCAGGAAATAATACATAAGGAATTTAAAAGTCTAAACCTAAAAGTTAAAATCAGCACAAATTTTAAAAAATGTAGATTTCCTGGATGTAACACTAGACTTAGTCAATAATACATACCAACCCTAAATGAAAACTATTGCAAATCCATTATATATCCACCCAAATTCAAATTACCCTCTATCCATAATTAAACACATACCCTCCTCCATAGAATATAGAATTAATAACAACTCTTCCAATGAAGATGTATTTTATAAACATAGCAAATTTTACAACACTGCCTTAAAAATAGTAAACATAAAATAATCCTCTTAGTAAGATTTTTATTAAAAAAAAATACACTTATATTTGTACAGATAACTTTGAAAGAAAAATTAAAAACAAAATAATAAGATTTTAAATCAACACTTCAACCTAAGTATCAATAGCTATTCCAAAGCAACAAACAATAATGATACCAACTTCTGTGATTGTCCATTACAAAATAGGTGCTAAACAGATTCCCTTGTTTACCTAAGTACTATTTCATCGAGAGAAAATCCAGCAGTTAAAAAATTTATATCGGTAGTACCAGAAATTCCTTTAAAACTAGGTAGTATCAACGCATATTATCTTTCAACAACAATGTGCACCGTAACAGAACGCCCCTTTCTAAATATTTTTGGTACTTAAAAGAAGTTAACAAAACTCCTACGGTAAAATGGAAAATATTAAAAATATCTAGAGCTTGTACATCCTTACATGATCCATGTTCCTTATGTTTACAAGAAAAATTGCACATTATAAAGTTTCCTGACAATAAAAATCTGTTAAACCAAAGAAATGAATTAATGCTGTTATGCCGGGATTGTTTTCCCTTTACCTTAAAATATAGTTTTAAAAAAAATTCATAAATAATTACGTATTACAATTGCATAGTCATTATTTTATAAGTAAATAATGGTCCACTCAACATTTATTTGATGTTTCAACTTTAATATTGCCATGTTTTACCGTCTATTCAGTATAATTAGCGATGTATATAGCTGTTTCTACATTTTTAATTTTACCGATTGGCCGCCTTAAGAAGCTTTCTGGGTATATAAATTTAAAAAAAAATTAAAAACATCTGTTTCTGATAATTTTATGGCTACTTCAACAAATCGGCAAATCATACATCCATGATACATTTGTCGCTGTAATGTTCCCTAGTATCGTTGGATGATTTGTCTAAGCGTCAGTTTTCTTGACATGTAAAAATAACCCTCCCACCTCCACCCTCTGACCTTATTTTTATATTTTAGCGTAGATCTGACGTTTAATTGGTTAATCTAGACATACCCATAAGTATATTTTTTAATTCTGACTTTATGTTCCTCCTTTAACTTCCGAAAAGAGGTAACGATTTGTTTCTAACTTTCCCTAATAAATCATTTTTATCACCATCGCCTGAAGAAATACAATATTAGTACTGAAACATGAAAGATTTTATGTAGCGATGTAAAATGTTTTTCATTGTAATTTTTTATAATAAAAATATTATAATAATATTTTGCTTTACTTTGTATTGAGCACTTTTTTAAAAGTAAATGCTACGAACTGTGGACTTTTACTCCATTTGTTCTTTCTCTTATATATATATATATATATATATATATATATATATATATATATACGTTCTGTCTGGTACAGTCGCGTTCAGTCTGGTCCTTCCTCTTCGACCTTACCGCTATTAAACCAAACTGAAAAAATACTGATTCAGATGTTGACATTTTTTTTTACATTAAACTTCCTGTTTTTCAAAAAGTGTATGTGCAATTTTTGATCAAAGTTAAGAAGGTGTCGCAAATCAATAATAAAATGACACGTTTGTCTTGACTAATTGTTCGGTTAAAAAGATGAAGCGGAGATAATTAAATTTTTATGTCTGTTTGAAATGTTAAAAGTGACTATATTTGATTTTTTCCTTAATGAACTATATCCGATTTAGCCAATATAGAGTTATATAGGAATAAAGGGTCGCTGCCGACACTGGAGTTTGAACACAGATCACTAGAGAGCAAATACAAGCGATCCCATTTCGAATAAGTAGATCACGTGATAGTTAATGAAATGTATATCTGGGAATTAGCGTGGCGCCTAACTGATCACTTTTTTTTTTCTATCCTCTGTTACTATACGGATCACTCTTTCTACACTAGCCTCTATCTCTATACTATTCACTATACTTTTTCTCTATTCGGATCACTATTACGTGCTTACTTTCCGAGCGAGTATTATCGAACAAGTACTATTAGTGCGAGTGATATTCGAAGGCGTCTGACACAAGTATTGTTCAACAGCGTTACTATAGTTGTATCTGCGATTACAAAGTCTCTACTACAACGAGCAAAGTGACAACGAATATTCGTTGACATTACAAAAGTGGCAACGAGAGTTCGTTGACATCACAAAAGTAGCAACGAGAGTTCGTTGACATCACAAAATATAGACGCAACGTCAATTCATTTGCTTTATGCTAACTTCCGCATTTATGACGATTTTCTTTCATCCGATGATGAATGGTTCTCGGTTTCATGAAAATGTGTCGAGACGGATTCTTCTTCTTTATGTACCATGTCCCCTCAAGACGTAGACGGTTATGGATCTCCACAATTTCCCTTCCTTTGTAGATCTTAATAAATGTTGTCTTTCTGTCATATCTCCTAAACTTTGTTCTATCATCCAAATATTCAAGCTCATTAGGTTGGTTATGCGTTTTTTTTTCCAAACCCTCCTTTCTCATTATATGCCTCAGGAATTTCAAGTGTCGTTTCCTGATGTATAAGTTTCCTTTTCGTATCCATTTTCTCTAAAACTTCGTCGTTGCACACATATGCTGTCCGTGGCATCCTCAACATCGTTCTGTAGAACCATATTCCTGTTGCTTCAAGTATCCTCTACATCTTTGAGGAGATCGTACAGCTTTCACTGTCATATAGGAGAACAGACATCACGTAACTGTTCGGTACTCTTTGTTTCTAACGAAGTTTTCCTGTTTCTTATTACTCTGCCTAGCTTTTGGAAGGCATCTTTGTCTATCCCAATGCGCCTTCGGATTGCAGTGACGCACTTTCCGTCTTCATGCATTTGAGGTTTAATCCTTTCTTCTCGCATTGCTTCACCTGCTTGTCGAAGAGTTTTTGTAGTTTTCTTTCCGTATCTACTATCAATATTGTGTCATCGGAATACCTTATATTGTTAAGATTGTGACAGTCAATAATGAATCTTGGTAGGATTTCCAGTTCTCTTTCTGTATAGGTTGAATAACTCCGGTGAGAAGATATAGCCTTGCTTTACGACTCTTTCTATTTTTGTATGTCATTTCTATCCGTATGTGATTCGGTGGATATGAAATGTATAAACACTTAATAACGAATATGCTGCTGTTG